TGAAATTTATATAGAAACACTTGTTCCTTTTAATATTGCTGAACCACAGGAGTCCACTTTATCGCCATACTAAGTGCAACGAACGTAGCTTTCCTTTCCTTTTTTATTTTTTCCTCCCATTTTTCTCAAGGATTGAGGCCACTGCCATGGCCCTCAGAGTCATTCTGAGACCAGAGGTGCAGACAGCACAGGAGAAGAAAGTGAACCTAATCTGACCTGGGCAGAACCCCGTACATGCTTCACTTTATAACTGGATATGTGCAGGACTGCCAGCTGTGAGGGGTGGGCACATCCTCTCCAACAGAAATCAAGGCTGTTACTGGACAAAATTGTTACAAACAACTATTTCCAGGGCTCTGGAAAGGGGCACAAGTCAGACAACAAATTAAGCAGCATTTATTCTTGAAAACCTGCTCTATCTTTGGGTCAAACCAGTGGGAGCCTGTGGCCTGGAGATGCTCTCACCCCATAGTCCTTATCCGTGCAGGGCCCACTACAGGGACCAGCAGCTTCGCCACGAGAAGAGTCGACTGGATTGCGGCGGGAGGCAAAAACCCAGGGCCTTTTCTGTGGAAGGTGGTGAACTTGGTAGGAAGAGGACGAGAAAACCTGCCACTTTGCCAGTCTGGGGTTGTGGTCCTACTTAGGGGAGCAGCAGCCCAATCAGACATGTAATGGGGACAACCTGGGGATGAGAGTGCCACCAAAGGACTAGGTTGGCCAGTTGGGAAGAAGTGCACATGTGCAGGTGTGAGTGTGGGCCTAATGCAGACAGGCCAGAGGGGACTTTTGGGGTGATGGACGAGTGCTGAAACTGCACAGGGCAACCACGTGTCCCAGGGAATTGAGTAAAATAATTTGGAAAGCACTGCATTATACACGTTTTTCTCTATAGTATCAAAGTGAGATAGATTAGACAATGCACTAGGAACCGCGGCTGCACATCAAAACCATGTGATGTGCTAAAAACAAAGCCGCTCGGGCCCCACCCCAAGACGTTCTGCTTCACGGTTTCTAGAGCAAAGCCCAAGCCACAGGCGTTCTTAGAAGCTCTGCCACCTTGTTTGAAAACCACTGGATCACACGGACCAGGTCCCTCATGGCCAGAGTGTAGTCACTAACGTACCTTAGGAGCTGGAGAGGTACAGCATGGCACTGCGTAATGAAGAAGGAAGGAGAGAGACCCAGCTGGAGGCACATGGAAGACGGGGGTGAGAAGGGATGGCACGGGCCTCAGAAGAGGGGGTTTGACCAGGGAACTGGGCAAAGAAAGGGTGACTGAGGATCTGGTTATCTGTCAAGTGTTTTTGAGACAAAAAAGAAATTGTGTGTTCTGTTTTGCAAAAGTTGCTGTCCCTGTTTTGCAGATGTTGCTGTCTTGCAGAGAAATCACAGGTTTGCAGAAAGGCCCCTGCAAAATGTCCCCAGCACCACATGTCCTAAAGTTACCCAAACTCATTAGCATCTTAAATTCTCCTCCTCTAGGAGGGTCCAGCCAGCCGTTTTTAGATCACGTGATATAATAATGTGTACACCTTAAAAGAACACAGTCATTACAAATAAACCTTTTCATCTTCTGCTTTCTTTTGTATAAAGTCTCCACCGGGCTTGGGGAGACACTGCTTTGGGAGTTATCCCCGGTGGTCTCCATTGTTTGTGCAAGCAATAAACCTTTTCTTGGTCTACTTCTGTCTTGGTTGTGCTTTTTGGCTCCACACTCATCAAGAGACAAACCCATTGAGTTCGGTTACAGAGGATCTAGAACAAGGAGGAGGCACGGCTCCCCACGGTGGGGCAGGGGAAGGAGGCGGCTTGATGTCACAGCCCAGTGGGGGCAGGGGGGGGAGGGAACAGGGACAAGGATTTACTAGATGTTTACAGGCGTCTTCATCCCCGCAGCAACATAAAGTGACCTTTTGGAGAGGATGTGATCAGGGCTCAAGGTGAGGCAGGCAGGTCTGGTTAAAGATGGGGATCAGCTTGTCACTAGGAAGGGTCCCAGCCAACTTGGCAGGAGGAGCTATTCCATTAGAGAGAAGATGGGCAAAGCGGTGAGGGTGTGGTTTTCCTGGCCATCGCTCTAAGTGGGAACCTGGGCCTTGGCAGCTGGCCTGGGGGCTCCTATCAGCAGTTTAGAACATGAGGGCTGAGTCAGCAAAAGTCAGTTTTAAAGTGATGGGAGGAGCCCTGGTTCCGAAGAGACTGAGATGGCAGAAGGTAGAACCCCATCCACAGCTCAGGAAAGTTAAACCTAGAGAGGTCACACTCTGTTAGTTCTGCTCACTCTCCCAGAGGATTACGGTTCCTCTTAAGGACCACAGCTGTTACGTTAGTTAATGGTCTGTGGTCTGTGGCTGGAAGAGAGTGAATGGAAAGCCCGCATAAGGAGGAGCCCACCGGGGGCAGGTCCAGCTTGGGGAAGTTTAGCTTTTGGGTTGTGGATGTGCAGGCTGTCTCCCAGGTCCAGTGTAGCAGTGGGGAGCAGGGGACGAGGCAGGAGTCCCACACGACACCCTGATAAGATGCCCCAAGTTCTAGGTGGAGTGACGGCCCAGCCGGGGGCTGATGACCAACCTCCCTGTGTCCTTCCTGAGGATCGGAAGGGACAGAATGTGGGGTGGGAGAGGACAGAGTTGGGAGAAGACATTCAACAGAGGTGTGCAGAAGGCCTGCCAAATCCTGGGGCCTCCGTCCCCTCTTCACATGGGCTCCTGTGCACCCACCCCAACCAGCTCCCGTGCTGGGGAGAGCTGGTGAAGGAAAGTCTTTGCAAAGGGAGGGAGCAAAGTGTCATGCAGGAATCTAAGAGCCAAACCAGAGGCTGGGCCGCGGGCCGGTGGGTCAGCGCTGAGCCGTGAAGGGGTTTCCTCTGGACCTTTAGCCGAGGCTCATGGTTACGGGACACTTTCTCAGGCGCTGTTCCAAGTTTCAGGGGCTTTAACTCAGTTACGTGTAGGTAACTCAGTGGGTTAAAATAATAGCCCATGCCAAGTATTACATTAGATGTGAATGGAAGGTAACAAAATAAAAACATTGTGTTGTGGGTTTTCAGAAAAACAAGAAACCATTTTACTAAAAATTCTAAGGGAGAAAGATGTCCAAGGTAAGGTTGGCTAGTTGGCCTCAATATCTGTTACCCTGGAACAAAGACCCTCGACATTGAGGTGGGTACAGGGCCGGCTGGAATAAGAACTACCTTCTCCAGCTTCCTTGCAGGTAGGCATGGCCATGTGATTAAGCTGTGGTCCAGGGGAGGTAAACAGAAGTGAAATAGGCACCTTTGGTCCCTTCCTCCTTGTTTCCTGGAATGCAGATACAAGAGTACAGCTCCAGCAGCCCTTTTGGGCCCCGACATGACCTTGGGAAAGGAAGCTTAGTAGAACAAGATTGTAGGGCACTAAACTAGCCCAACTCTGGACTTCTTAAATGCAAGAGAATATCAACTTCTATCCTGTTTAAGCCACCATTATTTTGAGGTTTTCTGTTACAATCAAATGTAATCCTAAGTAATAAAATAATCAAGTTGAATTGGTAAACTAAACATCAACAAGATAAACTTTTTCAAGGTTTGAATAAAATACTTCCTTAAGAAAAATTTTTGGACACTATAAGCTCCTTATATACTTACTACTGAATCTTATCAACAGTGCAATTTTAAACTGAATCTTCATATCATCTATAGATTTATGATTTGTATAATTGTGAAATGTTTCAAAAGCAACTGAAACAAAAAGACTTTCATGTCCTTAGCAGCAGAATTCTTATTTTCAAAAAATACTGATAAAAACTATAAAAGCTGCAGAAATGTATTTGCCCTGGCAATTGTTCTTTCAGTCTTGTTGGTAAGATCTGTCCTGCTTACAAGATATGCCCAGTCCTTACTAAGAGGAGAAAGTCATATCTTTTATCCTCTCTCTGGATTAATGTTTAGTGACAAACGATTCTCTTTAACATCTCATTGAATCCTCAAAACAGCCCTACCAGGCGGGTCCGTTTTGCAAGGAAAATTAGCCTTAGAATTAAATGCCACTCACAGGTTAGTCAGGAGTCAGATCTAGACGGGCTGACTCAGTTGCAGGAGCTGTAGACACGGGTGTTCACACAGGAGTGTCAGACCGACCCTCCACGTAGTGGGGTCCCCCAGGGCCCCAGGCCTTCATCTGGAGCTCCAGCACCTGGCGGTCCGGAGGCAGACTAGACTCGGAGGAAGAGGCTGTCTGCCGGGCACAGAGATGGAACCCGGCTGGTCATGGGTGGCTCAGAGGCTCACGTGGTCAGGGAGCTGGGCTACTTTCTGCCAACAGAGATGCAGTTTTTGTAGGATTTGGGGTGTTTGGGCAGAGGCTGGGGGAAAAGGATAACGAACACCTCTGATCCTGATGTTAGTCGCAGGCTGGGCACTCAGTCTCATAACTAACCTGGTGACAGGCCTGGTGAGTGTGAATCACAGAATTTTCCATTCAGACTGAAACAAGCCCTTTGTAACCCAGATGATACCACAACACTACCTCACTGCTTCTGAACCATCAGCTGCCCCCTCTTCCCCTCTGTGCTACGCAGCCCCTAGCTCCCATCACCCCCACACTCCTGCAGCGTCACCATGCACGTGCCCCCATGCAGGTATCAATAGGGCAAGGACGGCCACCAGCCCTTCCAGAATGGTTGGCGCCTGGACTTCTTTGCTGGGGTTAGGGAGCAAGTTAACCGTCCAGGGGGGTCAGGAAGCTCCGGAAGCGGATGGGGCATGGCACCAAGCAGGAGGGGTTGTAAGTAAAACGCTCAGAGCCAGGCCCCAGGCTCCCTATCACTGACTTGCTGCCGGACACCAGGAGAGTCACTCCTGCCCTCTGAGCTTCAGTTTCCCCACCTGCTGATAGGTTTGAACTGTTGCCTCCTGGATGTTTCCACTGCAACTCAGGAAAGTGCTTCTACAACACCCTGGAGCAGGAGCAAGAGCTTAGTGTGTGTGATTAATAAGCACTGTGCAACACATTCCTATCAATAAGCAAAATAACATTGTTCAGCATTGTTCACAAGGTTACTGCTGTGCGTTCCGAGGTCCACCTGGTGGAGAGGGTGCCCGCACTGCGAAGCTGTGATTGGAGTCACTGCCCGACACCTGATGAGCTCCAGGCCCTCTCTCGTGCCTGGGATCAGAGCTAGCACCGCTCCTGCCCTCAGGGGCCCGAGAACACCTGGAAAGAACAGTCAGGAGGCCACTGAGCTGCACGGGGCGAGTCTGTACTTCCCAGACAGGGCTGGGGCACTGCAGGGGAGCGCACCCCTCTTTTGACGACACTCGGCACCGCGCGGCTCTCGGAAGCTTGTCCTTAGGTGCCTGGCAGCGGAGGGCGAGGAGGTGGCTGTCCCAGGACGGCCTTCTTCCAAACCGAGGCGCCTGCCTTTTGTGTCGATGCCGCTGGCTGTCATATTTTCCTTCGGAGATTTTGTGAAAAGCATTAGATTAGATTTCTTTATTTTAAGCCCATTTCTTACAATTGTCTAGAGGTTCTCGGCTGAGCACATCACACCATGTGACCCGGCCCTCGATTATGCCTCTCTGCCCCACTCCCGAATTCCGACTCAATCCTTTCCTCCCCAGCCATTTTGGTAAATGTTAAATAAGGGCAAAATGAATGCTAGGACGCAGCTGCAGGCTTGGCCCCCGGGGACTGGTCTTACCTGGTCAGTGTCCCAGTCCCCATCTGGCTGCCGTGGAGCACCATGGGAGGTGCCACAGGCTGCGCACTGGGCTCTGCGAGTCACTGACCCGCTCAAACTGCCCCAAACTTAAAACTTTGCTTTACTTGGTCAACAATTGCTGCTCTGCTCCAGGTAAAGTAAGAAAAATTTTGAAAAGAGCTCCAAGTTAATTATCCTGACCTACACCCCACTGTCAGGTATCCCCCAGGATCTTCACACAGCTCAACCTCCCCATAGTCCCACAGGCCCACCTCCCTGACCCCAAGGCCATGGCAGTGAGTGAGAGGACACACTGAGGGCTCCCCAGCTCAGGCCAGAGGAGACGGATTCAGCCCGTGCTCTGTGTGAACACGAGGCTGCCTCGCCCGCAGTCCCGTCTGCAGCCTGGGGCAGCGGGAGGGCCCAGCCACTGCACTGATTTAACCAGCTGAGGGTCACCTCAGCGAGGTCAAGGGACAGCAGAGCAGCGGTGACACACAGAGCCACCAGCTGAGAACACTCTGCTTATGAGCTCACAGCCCCAAGCCAGAAGGGGAGGAAGCCAAGATTCTATGCACCCACTTTGCCTTTTCAAACCTGCCTGCTGTTCCTGACCTCACACAGGGTGTGGCCACAGGGCAAGGAATGGCCCTGCTCAAGCAGAGAGCCCCAGGAATCCCATTTGAGGGGGGTGCTATTCACTCTTACTCACGTCATTCACTTCAATGTGTTGGCCACTTTGCAGTAAAGACAGATGACACAGCACATCCCCAGAAAGGCCGCGATCAGTAAGCCGCCGCCAATGGCAATCATAGTCTCTAAATCAATCATCTTAATCATCTTGACGCCAAGCGCCCACCTGGGCAGAGAAGTGCAGGCGGCAGTGAATGTGGCTCCCTCCCCACACAGCCGCTGGGCCCCCCACTATCCTCCTTCAGCGGAGGAGGAATGAACCCAAACAGCAGAGCCCTATGCGCGGAAAACTGGGATGAATGTTTCTGGAGGGGCCTAGGATCCTGCACTGGCCCAGGGTGGGAAAAGGGCTTATTTGTGGATGAAAAGGGGCTGAAATGCGAAGTCCAGAGAGAAGGCCACCAGGACAGATGGTGGCAGGAATCTTTGTCTCCCTTTCACGGGCAGTCACGTGCAGCCACAGATAACAAACAGGCCTGCACTTGGGCAAATGGTTTTCCTCCCAAACACCGCGGCCTCCTGAAATACGTTCATTTTCAGAGTCAGAATTGACACCTCGCAGTACATCAGGCTTAAAAATCTCCTGCAGGAATAACTAAGGGAATGCGTTTTTTCAAAACGTTATGTTGTGCAATGCCAAGAATATGCAAACCCATTTTGTAAATGATATGTGTTTTAGGGAAAAAAAGTTTTCAGTTCTCCCACTGCCAACTAGGTCATGCCATCTCAGCATTTAAGGAGATTCTAGAAGCTTCCGGCTGAACCCTTCGGCAGAGATGGGGAGTGTCCTGCACAGCCCAGGAATCAGCTTCTCTGGGAGCCCCTGTCCCTCATTCTGTCTTTGTTGTGGGTCACATGACTTCCTCTGCCATTTTTCCTCCTATATCCAACCAATTTCCTCAAAATCCAATTTACCTGGAATAAGCAATTGGGTTAATCAAACTCTCTGAGCCTTGAGAAGCCAGTCCTCTCAGAGGCTTAGCAATAACAGGGGAGAAGATTGCTCCGAGAGAAACGCACACAGTCCAAACGGTGAGCACGCTTCGAGTCCAGCCGTCCTGAGCTGCCTGAGGCCAATGGCACAATACGGTAAAAAAAAAATAATAATAATTTTAGGGAACAAGACCCTTCAATAACACATTCCTCACCCCTCTGACCCCGGAGAGGGAGCTTGCTGTCCTCTTAGGGAGAGCTGGCGTGCAGGTTTGGAGACCTGACTCTCAGAAGCGCCGTCTTCGGCCAGAGCTCGAGAATGGACAAGCCCCCGCCGGGCCCCTCAGACTCAGCAGGACGCAGGCTGTGTGACATCAGCCCTCAGGACTCCAGCTCTGAGTCACAGAGTTCTCAATTCTGTCCCACGTTCCGAATGTTAGCCTCCCGGGAAATACAGAATGTCCAGATAATATTTTGAACAATTTTGTTCTGAGCCTTGCACCTTTGCAGATTTGCGTTTCCACAGAAAAAGGTTAAGGTTTGTCTTCTAATCAAAACATAGTTCGAGATCTCAATAAAAAAAATAGAAGAAAAACTCAGTCAAGTGGGGAGGTGAACAATGCCTTACACCCAAGGGTGACCCTCTGTTTTAGCCACACAGCGGGACACCCTGTAGCAATTTATCACAATTCACATATGTGTTCACTGCCATATGTTGATCTGGTTAAGTAAACTGGTAAATATAACTAGCTATATATATGTAAGATATAACTGACGAGTAATTGACAGACAATGTCTGCCTTCCACTCCAAGCAATTTCATTCTGCCTGTCATCTTTTGTTTTTTGTTTGACTTTATTTTTTTCCTTTTTCTCCCCAAAGCCCCAAGGTACATAGTTGTATATTTTTAGTTGTGAGTCCTTCTAGTTGTGGCATGCAGGATGCCACCTCAGTGTGGCCTGATAAGTGGTGCCATGTCTGCGCCCAGGATCCGAACTGGCGAAAACCTGGGCCTCCGAAGCGGAGCATGGGAATTTAAGCACTTGGCCACTGGGCTGGCCCCTGCCTGTCATCTTCTTAGTGTTTGTTTTACATGAAGTTTTCTGGATGTGGCTTCCAATCAAAAGCTAATTTAAAATTTAATAAAGAATGAGGCCACAGCTGAACACGTGACCTGTGCCCTGGTAAATGTGATAATCTGAAAGGGGTATTGCTGAGTTTTAAGGCATGATAATGGTAGTGTACTTTTCTCTCCTTTCAAATAGATCCACACTGAAATATTTATGCATAAAATTATATCTGATGCCTGGGGTTTGCTTCTGAATATGGGAAGTGCAGAGTCGGGGCGAGGGTAATGATGAGAAATTCCAAGCCCTGAGCCACACTTGTCTCCTGAGCTAACCCAGGGTCCCCTCCCCTCTGCAAGCCCCCTCCCAGGGGAGTGACCACGAAGCTCTCAGACTCAGTGGTGACGGTTCAGGGAGCTGGGAGATCATGTTGGTAGGAGAGAGGGAGAGGGGTGCAGCAAGAAAGCCGCGGGTGGGGCGGGGGAGTGGGGATCTGTGGACACAGCTGAGGGTGACTGGCCTTTAGTAATCAGAAGCGTCCCCACCCCATACTCATGCCCCCCCCCCCCACATACTTGCTCTCACACCAGGACACCCGGTCCCCACCCGGTACATGGCCCGCCCCAGAAGTCCCTGAGCTGACGGGAACTGAGCGGAGCTGTGCAGGTACCTTGGTGAGTGTCCCAGCTCCTTGGGAGCACAACTTCCTGATGTCACAGGTGCTGGCCCTGCCACTGCAGCACTGGTGTGAGGCCAAACTCCTGGTCCAAGAACCTAACAAGGAACGGAGCCCCCAGGTCACAGCCTAGTACTGTGCCCTCCCCAGCAACTCCGATGTCCCAGAGCCCAGTGAGGGGTCTCAGGCTACAGGGCCATCAGGCCAACCCTGGCACAGAAGAGCTGCCGGGGCACCCAGGAGGGGCTGCCGGGCCAGAGGGTGCAGTCTCCACCTGCCTCTGGGCTGCACCCCTTGTCATCTATCTTCCACAGAGCAGCTAGGAGGAGGATGATGATGATGATGATGATGATGATGATGATGATGATGATGATTTGGTGTGAAGAAGATTGTTGCTGAGCTAACATCTGTGCCGATCTTCCTCTATTTATGTGAGATGCCACCACAGCATGGCTTGATGAGTGGAGCTAGGTCAGTGCCTGGGATCTGAACCTGCAAAGTCCAGGCCACCAAAGCAGAGCATGCAAACTTAACTACTATGCTACTGGGCCGGCCCCTGGGAAGATTCTTTAAATAGTGAATCAATAAGGTCACTCTCCTGCTCAAAAGATTCCCAGTGAACTTAGCGTAGAATCCAAATTATCTGACCTGCAGGTTATTCATCATCTGTCCAACCACCCCCTCTTTTCTGTCCTCACCTCCCACTTCCCTCCCCTTTACTGACATCAGCCACACTGCCTTCCCAGAGGGGTCCTGCCTCAGGGCCTTTGCACGTGTCCTTTCCTTTGCCTACACCACCCCTAATCCCCAATCATATGTGACTGTGTCCCTCTTATTTTTCTTTCATTGCTCAAATTTCATCTTTGCCAGAAGTCTTTCTGTCCACCTTCATATTGACTCCCCACCCCCTCCAAGGCACTCACTTTGCCTAGTTATTATCTTAGCCCCTGTCACAATTTGACGTTTTCATTCATTGTTTTGCTTATTGTCTGTCTCCCCCACTGAGGCTATAAGTTCCCTGAGGGCAGAGAACGAGTCCATCATGTTCGTTTCCAGGTTCTCTGTCCCTAGTACAGAAGCAAGCATTTGCTGAACGATGAACGAATGAGTAACTGAAGGATAGCCCCGTACACCCGGGCACTCACTCTTCTTTTCGGACCTTTGCCACTGGAAGTCCATGCTCTCCCTGCCCTCACTGTGCCGGGAGGACCTTATCCACTTCCCTCAGGCTCTCTGAGGGGACCAGTTAGAAATTCCAGCCGCTGAACCCGGCCCTGCCCAATTTTCTCCTCTCCATCCTCTGCCACCTCCTGTCCTCTCTTCTGAGAGGCTCCTTCCTGAGGGGAAACTGAGAGGATGCTGTGGGCCAGGGCACGCTCTAGAACCTCAGGTCATTCTAGTTAATCCTCATACAAAAATGTCTCACCCATAGGATGATAAATGATAAATACCTGTGTTCATGAACACAGAAAGATGCCGCTGACAGTGCACTGAGTTTTAATAGAGGATATATATGTAAAATTATACACAAATATTTCTTTAAGCATGTACACAATATACGTATGTGCAAGAATGTTCACGAAAATGTTGCCATCTGGATCATAGGAGTTCCTCCTTTATTCTCAGTACTTTAAAATTTTACAGTTTCCTATACTGATTAAGGATTTCTTTAACAAAGAGAAACAAAAACAATAAGCAAAAAAAAAGTCAGAAAAACAAACTAAAAATCCCCCAACTCCAGCCCACCAAGAAAAAAAAAAAATGGACCCAAACTATGAGCAAACTAATGGTCCCTGTTAAGCCGCAGGTGCAGTTCTGAGCCCCCGCCGACGGGAGCGAAGGCCGCGCAGCCACTCCACAGGCGGAGGCACAAACCTGCCCACGCACAGCGCCCTAGAGACCGAATCCGCAGGCGCCTGCAAGTTGGGGAAGCAATTAAATGAGAATGTAGCAAACATGCAGGCTGCGAGGGGAGGCGTTCTCACCCCAGCAAGAGGGGTGGTCCTGGGGTCTTCAAAGGGCACCGGGTCCAGGCGTGCTGGTGGGCACACTTCAGGCCTGGGTGAGAAGGGCTTGGACACTTGGCGTCTCCCAGGGGCTGCTCATAAAAGCATCCCAAGCTGCTCTCCCAGGAGGGAGACGGGACGGAGCAGAGGCGGGGGGCAGGGCGCAGCCGGCCATGCGCGCCGCCTCCATCTTCCGTCCGACCCTGCTGCTCTGCTGGCTCGCCGCCCCCCGGCCAGCCCAGCCCGAGACGCTCTTCCACAGCCGGGACCGCTCAGACCTCGAGCCGTCCCCGCTGCGCCGCGCCAAGCCCATCGCCGACCTCCCGGCGGCGCAGGTAGGAGGAGCCCCGAGAACAGCATCACGCCCATGCGCTCACGGGCCCACATTCATGCACACACGCACACGTGCACACACACACCTCGGGGGGGGGGGGGGCTGGGAGCTCGCACAAATAACCAGTAAACACGGAATATAATGCTTCACAACACAGGTAAATACACAACGTGAATACAAGTATGCATCACAGCATACAAATGTCCAGCGTCCCTGTTCGCTGAAACAGACAGATGGTGTAGATCAACGCTCCTGTGTAGTGTGCCGTCAGGCCGTGCATTTCTCCCCGCAGCGGTTCCTGTCCAAATACGGCTGGGCCGAGGCGCCCCACGAGTCCCGGGCTCCCAGCCCCGAGGGCTCCCCGCGCGCCGCCCTGGCCGAGGCCGTGCGCAGGTTCCAGAAGGTCAACGCGCTGCCGACCAGCGGGGAGCTGGACGCGGCCACCCTGGCGGCCATGAACCGGCCGCGCTGCGGCCTCCCCGACACGCGGCCCCCGCTGCAGGCGGTGGGCCCCGCGCCCGGGACCCCCACGACCCCCGCGGCCCGGCGCCCGAGGGCTCGCGCCAAGCGGTTCCTGCAGGCGCTGCTCCCCGAGGATCCCCCGCCTGCTGGGGGCCCCCGGGCCTTCTCCAAAAAGACCCTGACCTGGAGGCTGCTGGGGGAGGGCGTCAGCAGCCAGCTGGCCCTGGACGAGCAGAGATACATCTTCAGACTGGCCTTCAGGATGTGGAGCGAGGTGATGCCGCTGGACTTCCAGGAGGACCTCACCGCCCCCGGAGCCACGGTTGACATAAAGCTGGGTTTTGGCCGAGGTGAGAAGGGCCAAGACTTTGAGGCCACCTGGGGGCTCCGCTGGCAGACTGCTCCTCCCTGCCTTCCCTCGCAGCCTGGGGTCAGGCCCAGGTAGCATAATGGGAGCCGCAGGTCAAACAGGCTGACTGGGGTCACCCCACCCTGGCCTCCTGCAGGCCTGTCACCTGCAGAGTGGTGGCACCAACCCACCTCCTGGGGTGTTCTTGGATGGCACCTGTCAGGGTGTGGGCATCTTGTAAGCCCTCTGGAGATGTTGCTTTATTACAACTCGCTGCGAAGAGGACAGGCGTGTCAACCTGCACAGAGCCCAGAGCGGTCACACGGGGACATTAATGTGGGTCCCTCTACTTGTCTCAGAGCAGGTCAGCCCAGTGAGCTTTGCTCACAAGAGCTCAGCGTGCTCATCAGAGCACAAGTAAACCAGGCCTCACTTGGCGCCTCCCCCCTCCTCCTGAGGAGAAATAGTGGCCTGTAGTCTACCGACCTGAGCCAGTGGATGGGGTGGGCTTCAGCCAGCCCCCCACCTCTTAGCTGGGTGGGTTTGGACCAAGTAACTTCTCTGCAGCCCCATCTGGGGCCTAGGGGTGCTGGTCTCACTGGGTTAACCTCCCAATGCGAGAAATACACAGGGCATAATTTGTTGAAAAACTATACAAACGTAGGGGGTGTGACCATCAGGCAGCCCCGCCTTCATTTCATGAGAGCTCAGCTGTTAGGACCCAGCTCAGATCTTGTCTCCTCATAACCTCCCCCACTCCCTGGCAGAGTGGAAGAGCCTTCCTCCTCTGGGCTCCCACAGCACTTGGTACAGCTCTGTCTGTAACCGTCTTTAGACTTTCTGACACACTGTTCACACACAAACTGTGTCTCGTGTGCTCCTAGCATTGAGGAGTGGATCCAGGAGTTGTGGCTTCTGCTACTGGACTACAAGGCCCTCGAGGCCAGAACCCTACCGGTGTCTGTGTTCCCAGGACAGGGAGGTAAGGAGTCTGTGCAGTGGGCACGCCTGATTCACCTGGACTGCCTCCCTCTCCCCTCGCCAGGCCGGCACCTGGGCTGTCCTTGGGTTTTCGATGGCAGTGGACAGGAGTTTGCACATGCCTGGCGCCTGGGCGACATTCACTTTGATGATGACGAGCACTTCACACCTCCCACCAGTGACTCGGGCCTCAGCCTTCTCAAAGTAAGTGGTCTCCTGCTGCTCAGAGTGACGTGGCCGAGGGCAGAGCAGCGTGAGCTTCTCCAGGGAAGTGTCCACCCCGCTGAGAAGGTTCCCCCATTCTCACCCTTCTCCTGAATGAGCACCCCTGCTCTGGAGGCACAGTCCCGCCCTCTGTGATGGGATGGGACCTCCTGGTGCTCAGACACCCAGGGCTGCCACTGCACCCATGGTTTGTGTTCGCTTCCAGGTGGCCGTCCATGAAATTGGCCATGTACTTGGCTTGCCTCACACCTACAGGACAGGATCCATAATGCAGCCAAATTACACCCCCCAGGAGCCTGTGTTTGAGTTGGACTGGTCAGACAGAAAAGCAATTCAGAAACTGTATGGTAAGACTGTTCTGGGAGAGAGCATCCTCAGGGCTCACAGGGGGCACCCAGGATTCCAAAGCCTCACTGGACCCACTCACTCCTCACTGGGAGGCTGGCCCTCCGGGAGCACAAAATAATACAAATGCACTGCAGCCCAGAATATCTGCCTTCCAGCTCCGTGATGCTTGTTCTCTTAGTGAAAGGTGGCCATGCCCGGACTGTAGCCATGGGTGGAGAGAGCGCCCACTCCCGTGGAGATTCCCTCCTGCGTCCTCTCTTTCTCACGCTACATTATATTCCTGGGAGGAAGGAGGAGAACACTGTGGCTTTCTCAACACAAGTGGGCCATCCAGGCCGTGGCATCCCATGAGAGCTACAGGAACTGGAAGCCACTGAGGAAGCTTACTGTAATCCCCAGGCAAAGAAGAGCGTAGTCTTGCCAGGATAAGCTTTAACTTCTGTTTAATGGTTCAGGCCAGCGTGCTAGTGGCTACTTAGTTAACTGAAGTGATTAATGATTTAGCACAGAGGCCGAGGAGAACGGAAGCTCCCCCTCCACTATTCCATTTAAAACAGGGACCATCCCCATTTCTGTTCTACTCAACCGTCTTGTGGTTGGCACTCAGCATCTTTGGAGAATAACAGATGCCGACACATTTATTTCCCTTGGTGGAAATCTTACTGTTGTGTGTCCCCAGAACCAAACTTCTTTGCTCTAATAGAGTCAGATCAGCCATTAAAAGAGGCATTAGCTCTATTTAGGGGGATCATATAACTAGCATCCAAATTGAGACACTTAGTGGGAGTGCAATTAATAGTGAAGCCAGAAAACTCATGTGAGCCAGGGCTGTCACAGGCCATGGGGTCCCTCCAACTGCCCCTACTCAGCCAGGGAAGGCCAATCTCATGTGGTGTCTTGCTTTAAGACGTTTTAATGGAAAACTCCAGCTTTGCAGTTGTCTCTATTCAAGTCACACATGAAAGAAGGAACAGTTGGTTTTTGCACCAGGTGACAAGTGGCTAGACTTTTCTTTTTATTTATTTATTTTTGAGGAAGATTAGCCCTGAGCTAACATCTGCTGCCAATGCTCCTCTTTTTGCTGAGGAAGACTGGCCCTGAGCTAACATCCATGCCCACCGTCCTCTACTTTATACGTGGGATGCCTGCCACAGCATGGCTTGCCAAGCAGTGCCATGTCCGCACCCAGGATCCGAGCCAGCGAACCGCGGGCTGCCGAAGCAGAACGTGCACACTTAACCCTTTTTCTTTTTTTTAAGGTTCATGTGAAGGATCATTTGATACTGTGTTTGATTGGATTCGCAAAGAGAGAAACCAATATGGAGAAGTGATGGTGAGATTCAGCACGTATTTTTTCCGCAACAGCTGGTACTGGCTTTATGAAAATCGAAACAACCGGACTCGCTATGGGGACCCTATCCAAATCCTCGTTGGCTGGCATGGAATCCCAACACAAAACATAGATGCTTTTGTCCACATCTGGACGTGGAGAAGAGATGAACGTTATTTTTTTAAAGGTAGAGGTGCTTATGGATGGCTCTATTTCTTTTAATATCCAAGTGCATTCAGAACATTCAGAATTTTGAGCCCCCACAGGGAATCTGTTGTAATGCTCTTGCAGTCACCTACTGAATTCCTGTCTGCTCCATCAGACCGTAGGCTCTGTGAGCATGGGGGTCGTGTGATCGCTGCATCTTTTTAAGAAGGCACTGAATGCATCAAGTGAACGAATGAATGAGTGAGTGAATGGCGCTAGGCACTGGGTGGTTGCCAAAGACCTATAAGCAAGAGCCCTCCCTTCAGAAATTTTAGTCTGATTCTGGAGAGCAAAACCTTAGAAGCCTCGCAACAGGAGAAGTATGTTTTGAAGCGGAATCAGCAGACCAGGTGATCGCTGCCACCTGGAGTCAGATGGGGGCGCCACCGAGGAGTCCGGGCTTGACCCAGACTTGAAGGAAGGCAGGACGTGGACTGCCCAGGAAAGGACACGGGGGTGATGCGTGTGATGGGGGAGGTGGTGCTGCGGTGAGGGGGTGCGGGTGGTCACACTCAGAAGCGGAAGCAAAGCCTCAGAGCTGGGCGTGAAAAAGACGGATCTGCGGGAGAGCCGAGCCCATGGCGGTGTGGCAGGGCGCCCGCACGGGGCAAGAGGAGCTTGGGAAGACAGGGCCAGCCCGAGCCCCGGAGAGCCGGGAAGGCCGGGGACAGGGGTGGCGCATCCTCCCGCAGGCAGCGGGAACGGCAGTTCCTGAGCAGGGAAGATCAGGGTTGCGTGGGGAGGTGGAGCTCAGCTGAGGGGGGCCTGGTGGTCTTGGGACCACGCAGAGAATGCAGGCCTGGCGTGTTCTTGCTGCTGCTGCCCCTCGCTCACAGGCCGCCGTGCCCAGGCTCAGGCCCGTGTCCCAGAGGCAGGCTGCCTTTGCAAACCAAACGCGTGGAGCCTAATCACCACTGTGGTTTTGCGGTACTGCTTTTCTTCCCCTTCCCGGAGCTTGTTCCCAGAGAGGAGCAGGGTGCACTGGCTCTGCCTCAGTCCCAGCCATACAGCCATATTGCTTTAAATTGCTCAGAAAGAGTGAACGAGGCAGGAGCCAAAGTGAAGGAATGTTGCATGCAAATTTTGCCATAAGAAACCTGTGTATAAATCTGGTCTCAGTGTCTCTGCTCATCACACAAAAGAAGACTATTTTAGTTCAGTTCCAGGAGAAATCGCCTCGGGTGGACTGTTATAGCGGGGAGCTTTCCGAGTTGGAAGCGCATCTTTCAGGCGTTTAAGAAGTCCCGAACCAGAATTAGTATTGGCAACACTCAAAGAATCTTAGTTACAGAACTAGGTCATCATGCGGGACTGCTGTAACACAGCTGTATTTTATTCTTGGAGCATAACAAACATCTTAAATTTAACTTGCTGTGAATACTTTCAATTCAAAAAACATTCCAGCTAGCGTGAATTGTGCCTCTGGTGGGCCACCCGTCGCGCTGTTCTCAATAGCAAACCCTCCCAAATATACTGAACACTCGCTCGCTAAGGAATGTGGCCGCTTGTGATGTTTTGTGAGTTGTGAACACAAAAGGATCTAACTCAGTGGATTTATTCTACTGTATGCTGACAATATGCCAGATAGTCAGCATTAGGAACTAATAAGGAAAGCTTAGAATAATGCTGTGCTGTTTCAGAGCATGAAATTAGCATTTGGACCTTGAAGTGAAACAGAGCAAAATTCCAAGATGTTATTTCACAGGGCGGGGCTAAGTCACTGGGGAGTCCCTGGCTGTATCCCTGGGCCCACCTAGGCTGGCTGAATTTGGGTGAGTTGCTTCAACTCTCTTCACTCCCGTTTCCGCATTTGTAAAATGGGGCTGGTGGTGGAACTAGATGATTCTAAAACCCTGGAAAAAGGCAGAATTTAATAATAAGTATCATAATTTTTTTCTGCAAAAAGCGGGCTTATATTGATGAGGCTGGGAAATGATTCAGGACAGTCCATGGGCCCTAACATGCAGAAGGACGATCGTTAAACTACAAAGGAAGAGAAGGAAAATACGATGCTTATGTGAAAAAGATCACGTGGTTTTTGGTGTTTTTTGATTTCCATGAGTGCCAATGGCCTGGGGTGAGCTGTGAAAGGCAACCTGCATTCTAACTGCGGCAATGATGTGTAAGAAAAATGGATTCCTGGGGGCAAATCTAGAAGTAATTCAAGATCTGGGGAATCAGTGATTTGAGCGGAGGTGTCAGTCAGATGCCGCGAGTCCTGCTTTTTCCTGGACTCACAGCGGAACGTCACGGCTGGCTGGGATCGTACTGAAAGCTGTCCTGTTTGTCGTGTCCTGTGATTTAACAGTAATAAACCACATTAAAATTTGTTGCTTGGCTCTCAGGAAATCAATACTGGAGATACGACAGTGACAACGATCAGGCCCACACGGAAGATGAACAAGGAAAAAGCTACCCCAAATTGATTTCAGAAGGATTTCCTGGCGTCCCAAGTCCCCTGGACACTGCCTTTTACGACCGAAGAAAGCAGTTCATTTACTTCTTCCAAGAGTCCTTTGTAAGTAGACAGCTTGCCTGCTGGGGCTGCTTCTGTCACCCCTAATTGAAACTGCTCGGACGGCCAGTTCTCAGCTGAAAGCTGTTCTCATTGCCGCAGCCCTACACGGCAACGCAGCTCCTCCCATCATTTGGAAAATTATTAGGGACTTCAAGCCCAAAGAATGTGGTGCAGAGCCACAGATTTACTTACCTCATTGCTATAAATTAACCTCAAAATCAATGATTTTCAAAAAAGCCAGTCTTACTTTATTTGCTTTGCAGGTGTTTGCATTTGATGTCAATAGAAATCAAGTACTTGATTCTTATCCAAGGAAGATTACGCAAGTTTTTCCAGGAATAGAGCCACAAAACCATCCTTTCAGAAATATAGATTCAGCTTACTTCTCCTACACGCACAACTCCGTTTTCTTTTTCAAAGGCAAAGCATACTGGAAAGTCGTTAATGACAAGGACAGACAGCAGCACCCCTGGCTTCCTTCAAATGGCCTATTTCCAAAGCAGTCCATCTCAGAGAAGTGGTTTGACGTTTGTGACGTCCATGCCTCCACCCTGAACATGTAATGAGGAAAACAGGCAAATGGAGAGACTCAAAGGATTTCTCTTCTAAGACAAAGTCTGATTTCTTTTACAAAGAAAACCAACCAGATTTTTAGTAACCAAAGCGAAGAGGGCTCCCTAACTTAAAACCCCATGGAAAAAACAATACTTGAACTTTTAAAATACTGATTTAACAGTCAATTGCTCAGTCAAAAAAATAATTCACTAAATAATTTTTACAAATTTTTTAGGAAAGGTTAAAAAAAAAAAGGAATCCTGAGGAATACCTGTCTTTGCTTTCTCTTCTCTCCAGGGTCCTGTAGCCATGTTCCTGAAACTGTCCCTCTGCCCACCAATTTCATGGATAGGTGGGAAGGCACCATAGCCATGGGGTCCACTCATAGGAGATGCCACCCGCTATGGGCATGGAAATGTTCCTGCATGAAAACCTGGAGATTCAAGGGAAAAGGCCACAGAATTCAAATTAACCACTCCAAAATCCCTGTCATAATTTATATTTTTCTAGTACTTGACAGTGTACAAAAGGTTTTTTCATGTATTTCTCTCTTGATCTTCCTAACCCTGTCAGTAGCAGGCCAGATACTAGTGTGCACATTTCTAGTTGAAGAAACTCAAGTTCACTAGCTGTGTCCTGCCCAAAGTCAAACGCAGTGGCCGCTCTTGGTCGTACTCCCCTCCCTCCAGCCCGCGGCCCTGGCACTCTCTCCATTCCTGCAACGCTCTCTTGTCTGAGTAAAGGCCTGCCTCCCAAACGGTCCTGAACAGAACAGCTCTCTGGCTTGCTAGAATTCCTATCATGGGCTCCTCCCCCTTCAAAGCAGGAAACACTTTATATGGCAGCTTATTTATGATCTGAGGGCTAACAACTAAAATAAGACTCTTGAGCGAACTGGCTAACTTTATTTCCCCTATGTCAGTTCTCTCTCCGATAGGCACTGCAGCCCTTTAACTTTCACATAAAGGAGCTATTGCCTTTCTTAACACAAACCCCAAGGGCTACATAACGATGGGGACAAAATTTGGGCCTGAAACTAACTGAGGAAGACTCAGTGGTCTCAATGATGAGGCTACAAACACCAGAGTTCTTCTGGAGGGACAGCTAAAACACAAGCGCTTTAAGCAGCTTTCATTTAAAATCAGCATGTTACAAAAACTTTTTAAAAGGACTTTTTTCCCCCTTGTAGGACAAACTTTCATATTATTGTTTTGACAAGTGAAGATGGCTACAATTTATATCTTCTTGCTTAAAAACAAATTCTCCTCTTGACTGAAAGCTGTTCAGTCAAAGACAGAGGCTAGAAGGCAGGGAACTCTAGTATCTAACCCCAGCTTACTTCTGCGTAAGTAGAAAATCGTTTTTGAATTCATTAATCCAAAATTAGATATAATCAATGGAAGTGTCTGGGTGTAACAGGCAGAGTGAAGACAGTGTTATTCTGTGTGTGCTTGCTGCAGGGGGGAACAGAATGAGACATTGCTGATTTTGTACAACTGCTTTACAATTTAGTCAAAACTTTAAATGCTTAGATGATTAATTTTTGAAAATTGATGCAAATCTGTCCTAAGGACAATGCAAACTAAATAGCAAGGAAGTGGACAAATGGCAAGAGAGAGTTCTGCCAAGCTATGACAGATGTCAACTCACTGTCAAGGAAAATACCTGACGGTCTCGGTGTCCGAGAAAGCAGTTTGTGAAAGTTCAGCTTAAAACAGATGTATTCCAGACAATTTTCTAGTACAGTTCAGATTCCTGCAGAGGTGTGGCTGTCAGTCAACCTGCAGGATCTGCACAGTGAAAATGACCTGCCGACACACTCAAGGAGGTCATTGGCAGCACTTCCTCCTGCACTCAGGACCAGGCCAGCAGACTTGGAGGCGGGCCAGCTCTTGTCTACAGAGGGTCATGCATATAAACCCAGACCGTCCACCTGACAGGAATGAGCATGCTTCATTTATGTGTTACCTTTTTCTTTTTTTCTTCTTCTCTCCAAAGTCCCCCAGTACATAGTTGTATATTCTAGCTGTAGGTCCTTCTGCTTCTGCTATGTGGGATGCTGCCTCAGCATGGCTTGATGAGCGCTGCTAGGTCCACGCCCAGGATCTGAACCCGCAAAACCCAGGCCGCTGAAGCAGAGCGTGCGAACTTAACCACTCGGCCACAGGGCTGGCCCCTATGTTACCTTTCTTGAAACTGAGATTATTAACTATGACAGGACAAATACAGCAATGTACACTGTGGGCACTGGAGAAAAGAAAGTATGTTTGTACGCAACTGGACAAAAGCCACAAAGCAGCAAGTAATAGGGGTAATATGCTAGTGAGAATTCAGTGGATGGCAGGATTTTATTTTTAATGTTTTAATCTTTACTTTGTAAAATTTATTAATTAAACCAATTCAAATCAAAACTCGAAAAGAATGTAACATGGAAAAATACAAAGACATTTTAAATAAATAATTTATTTATTCAAAATAGTTTTCTTACCTTATTCACAGTTTCAAGTTTAAAATGAAAAAAAAAAAAAGTAGTAGTACCTATTCTTGATCAACTGTCATACAAAGTCACAGAAGAGCAGACCCTTCAGAACATGCACTACATACCAAGAATTGGACAATGGCTAGTCTTTGAAAAATCCTGTACTGAAGCTTAAAAAGGGCAGCCTTCTTTCTGTGCAATTTAGAAGGGAATGGATGTACAGGAAGTTTCTTTAATCCACTTGAACCACTAAAATCATTTGGATAAATGTTCCCTTGGCTAAAGTAACATTTACCCAAAATAATTATATCTTAAACCCATGTAGCTTAACATACTTGAAAAATATTTAAAAGTGTAATTGCATCACAGCAAGTGTATTAATATTGAGGTACCACATACTTCTGAAAGAAAGAAACGCTGGGAGCGTTAAGTCTGATTCTGTTTTAGCACTTCAGATGAGAAGACAAAGAACTCAGCCATGATGTGTCTGTCATGGGAAATGAGAACTCTGTTTCCACCGCTGTGCCTGTTTTAAGTGGATATTTCCCTCATATTTAATGAAACGAAGCACCAAATGGATAACCTAGCCCCCAAGTGCAGAAGGCACTGACAGCATCTCCGTGGCTGCAGCCCTGGGTGTGAGTCACTGAATGGCACCACCACTGCCACGAGCAAGCTGATCCAGCAAATGGATGAGAAGGTCGATTCTTTCCAAAAGAGTTGCGTTTTTGTTAGCAGTAGCTCTCAAAAGCTGGGAGTAAATTTGCTTGTTGGTTTTGAGGACTACATCTTCTTCAATGTTACTGCTGGGTTAAAAAAAACAAAACAAAGGAGAGGTAAAATGAACAGTGATGCCCACCAACAGTTCAAGAAAAGATCCAAAACAACAGCAAAGGCCCAGGTGTCACTTTCCACAGGGAAGCAGGTGTTCCATTAATGCCTATTCCATACCGACCTTCTGGCATCTATTACTTGTAAGCCTGTTTTTAGACATTTATTTCAATACATCAATTAAAACCAATGTTCATTCTTTTTACAAATATCTGAGTGCCTACTATGTACCAGGAACTACTCCTGGCAGTGAGCAAAACAGACCGGAAGTCTCTGCCTTCATGGAATCTGCATTCTATTGAGGTAGGAGCTGGCGGAAGACATGCACTAAACAAGAAGAAAACAGAGAGGTGACATCAGTATCATGGTGGAGTGAGCTCTTCCCTTAGTCTCTCCCCACTAAGACATAACAAAAAGGACATTCACAAACCAACAGAGCACATTCACACAACAGACATCTGAGAGACCCACACAACCATACATCTGAAGGTGGAGGTGCTGGATCCCTGGGAGGAAGTAGAAGGAGGTAAGGGGATCTCCTCTCCCTCCCCAGCAGTGACCAAGGGCACAGGACCACGCACAGCTCTGAAAAGAGAGAGAGGAGGGGCAGCTCTCTGTGGAATGCCTTTACTCTCCAAGTGGCCTACCAGCCATGGGAAAGCACCACACAAAGGAGGCTTGGCTATTGCAGGGGTGTCTTCTTCAAGCCAGCACCCCAGGAGGGCAGACAGTGAGGGCAGAGCAAGAACACCCCCAGGATCATGCACGTAAAAGAAAGCGCCACTCCTCCTGCCCAGTGCTCAGCTCAGCCAGTGGGCCAGAGCAAGGGACCCCGCCAGAGCGCATGTACATGTGCTTGTAAAGCAGGAGTGGCAAGTGGGCAATTGCAGACAGGCTCTGTCAGCATAGATTCCAAAGGACAGGCACAGACACCAGGGATCACAGCAGGCTCAGAGTATGGCTCCTGACCCCCGGCCCCCAGTGGCGGCAGGTAGAATCTGACACCAGACACTATCACTATGTGAAGCACAAATCGACCCCATCAAATAGAATGAAGAAATATATTAATACTCCAGACCGGAAGGAAAATGACGAGCACCAAGAAATCAATCCTGAAACCACAGAAATTTACAATCTAAATGACAGAGAATTCAAAATAGCTATCATAAAAAAACTCAATGAGTTACAAGAAAATTCTAAAAGTTCAATGAAATCAGGAATAAAACTAATGAACAGAGGGAATTCTTCATAAAAGAGACGGAAATTATAAAGAAAAACTGATCAGAAATGTGGGAGATGAAAAACACAATGAATGAGACAGAAAACTCTGGAGTCCCTGAATAACAGAGCTGATTTCGGGGAGGACAGAATTAGCAGTCTGGAGGACAGAAATATAGAAATGCTTCAGGTGGAGGAGGAGAGAGAACTAAGACTAAAAAGACATGAAGAAATTCTCCGAGAAATAGCCTACTCAATTAGGAAATGCAACATAAGATTATAGGTATTCCGGAGGGAGAAGAGTGGGACAAAGGAGCAGAAAGCTTGCTCAAAGGAATAATAGCTGAGAACTTCCCAAACCTGGGGAAGGAGCTGGAATTACAAGTAAAAGAAGTTAACAGAACTGCTAATTACATGGAAAAATATCTTCTCTATGGCATATAGTAGTAAAACTGGCCAAAGTCAATGACCAAGAAAAAGTACTAAGGGCAGCAAGGCAGAAGAAAATAACTTACAAAGGAACCCCTATCAGGCTATCAGTGGATTTCTCAACAGAAACCTTACAGGTTAGGAGAGAGTGGAATGACATATTCAAAATACTGAAAGACAAGAACTTTCAATCAAGAATACTGTATCCAGGGAAAATATCCTTCAGATATGACAGAGAAATAAAAACTTTCCCAGATAAACAAAAGCTAAGGGAGTTCATTGCCACAAGAGTCCCTTACAAG